TTTTAAATAAGTGTATCTGTGCGTGTACATTACTTTTGGGTACAGAAATGGTTTTTGTGTTGAGTTGCTCCCAACCCCAGCACACTCCCCATGTTTCCCAAAGACCTTCTCCTCCTGTCTCATTTCCCTAAAATTTGAATTCTCCCTCACCTGCTTCCACATTTTTCCAGGCACCAGGTCCTACTCCCCATACATCAGAGAGCTCTCCTAGCTCCAAGTCTCCCTCCCCATCCCATTTCCTATTGTCTGGTTTACCATTACCTTTGCTCCTGGTTGTTTAACCAAAAGGTAGTAGTTAGAAGAGACAGAGGGGGAATAAATAGGTGGAATTTAACAGAGAACACAAGGCAGGGAGAGCAGTGAAGGCTCCTAGTGGAACTGCCCGAGATCACAGCTGCTGGCTAGCCTTGTGGAGGGAAGAACTGAGAAGGGAAGCGGTGGGAGGCACAGAGCTGCACACCACTCACTGAGGCCAGAAGCCGCTGTAGTCAAGAGAGGGACCAAGGCCTAGGCTTCTCCCTGCCTTCTGTCCTACCAGCATGAAGGAAAGAAGGAACAAAGGAATGAACACAGCAAACCACTAGGGAACCTGGGAAAGGAGTCTCTACACCACCTCCCACAAGAGCAGGAGGAGTGACACTGGCCCTGTGCTCCCTCACTGCTCTCCCTAGCTGTCTCTCCCATCTGACTCATTCTCCTAGAGTAGCTACAGTTTGTCCCAAGTTACAGGTGTGGCGTTTACCAGTCAGCTTAACTTTTATTCCAGCATCTTTATTTTGTAAAAGTTTCTGCTTCTTGAGATGCGTGTACCATCTTAAAGTGCTATTTCCATTTCTGCCCTGTCCACGCCCACCCCTTGCCTCCCTCCTCCCACTCTTCACATTGGCAGGACACTACCACTTAGCTCAGCTTGTGCTCTGCTTAGGCACTCTGTTGTCCTGCACCAGTGTTGTCCCGTGGTGCCCCATCTCACAGCTTCATTCACAGCTTCTTGCCCTCTTCAGTGTCTGTCACCTTAACCCTTCGATAGCTACTTCCTCCCTAAGCTTGCCTTTGTTACCAAGAGCTATTGGACTTGTAGAAGCCAACCTCCTATCTTCCAACCCTCTCACTTATTCCTGGAGAGCCTCTATTTTGCTGCCTAATGAAGGTAGTGACACTCAACCATGGCCTATGTCAAAATAACTTTTTGAGGCTTTTATTTTATTTTATTTTATTTTATTTTATTTTATTTTATTTTTGAGACAGGCCTTCACTGTGCATTCTATGCTGGCATTGGCCCCACTGTGTACCCCAGGCTGGTCTCGTACATGTGCTGATCCTCTTACCCCACTTGTCACTTTCTGAGATTTTAAACATTTAAGGGGCTTACACTGAGTAGATCTGAAGCAGAGCATAGTCATCACTGGAGTTTTTTCTTTAAAGCTGTCCAAGTCCATGGTCGTTCATGCCTGTGATCCTACTTAGTTGGGAAGCTGAGGCAGAAAGATCATAAGCTCAAGGTTGCTGGCCTGGGCTACTTAGCAAGATGCTTTCTCAGAATAAGAAATAAAATGGAAATGTAGCTCAGCAGTAGAGTGTTTATCTCATGTGTGTGAACCCAAGAGTTCAAGCCCCATGATGCACCCCCCACTGAAACACGCAACCTCACAGGTAGCAAACATTGAGAGCAAATGGTTTAGATTCTGCCATTTATTCCCCTAAATTACCAATCTTCCTATATCACTTTCCTTTGCAAATTATTTCATTCCTTTTTTTTTTTTTTTTTTTTTTTTCCCCAGAACTGGGGATTGAACTGAGGCCCTTGCACTTGCCAGGCAAGCGCTTATTCTACTGAGCTATCTCCCTGGCTCAAGAAAAATACAGAAGGATTTTTCTTTTTTTTTTTGCTGGCTCAGTGTGCCTAAAGGGCAGGTCTGGTAAGGTATGAGGATCTGGGGATCGAACCACAGCATCCTGAGCATGAGTGCTTTGGTTAACAGACACTTAAACAACTGAGCTAATGGGCAGGCCCCAGTATTTCAGCCAGTGAAATGCCAGTCCTCTTTTCCTTTTCTTCTGTTGGACTCCTCTATGAAAACCCAATTCCTGTTAGGCTCATTGTCCTCTCCATTTTTATATTTGATGCTGGGAGATATTGCTACAGAAAATACACAGATTTTCTGCCAGTTTATCACTTCAAAGTCATGGTCTTCTATCTCAACAGGGTCCTGACATCACTGAGAAATATTTATGATCTTAGCTAGGTGTCTTTCCAGGGTGTATAGTGTTGTATATCCTTATTTCAGTGTTATACTCCAGATGAACCCAAACCCCTTGCCATGACCATGAGGCCCTTCTTGGGCTGTCCTGCATTTTTATTCTTGCTTTTGGTCACTACCTTCTGGCCAGAAGATACCTGTCTCAAGCATCCTCACCTTTAATTATCGTGCTCCTGCTGCATGCAGTGTCCCCTTTCTTCTCCTGTCCTCTGGACTGGTTATTTTTGTTTGTTTGGTCATTTGTTTTGGCAGTTCAGGGTGTCCTTGAACTCACAGTGTAACCCAGGCTGGCCTTGAACTTGTGATGATCCTCCTGCCTCAGCTTCCTGTGCACCACCACACCTGGCTGGCCTGTTCTGTTCTTGCTCTGCGATATGTCAAGGTGCACCCTGCACAAGTATCATGTTGTCACCCTCCCGCAGCCACAGCCTCCTGTGTCTTCTTCCTACGGGAGCTTTCAGTATTCTTTCACTTGCCTATTTTTATCTTGCATTTCTTTAAGACTCAGATGGGAGCCACTTAGTGTAAATTTGAATAGTGTAATGTTTATCATAGTTATTTTATGAATAAACTAATTAATGAATTATTCAATACTTAGGTTCCTCAAGCCCATTTTTTGTGTCATCTATTCGTGGTACAATAATTGAAAACACAACTTCAACTGGGACTTTGACACAGATTCCTGTTTTCCCTAAATATGAAATCGAACTTGATTCTCCCAGAAAAATCATCGCTTACCCAGGGAAAGAGCACATTGAACGTGTTTTGGAAGAATATTCACATCAAGTCAAAGATTTGCAGAGAAGACTAAATGAAGTGAGTTGCATTCTCTTCTAGCACCTTTCATTGTTTAGGGACAAGAGGGACATGAATTATCTTAGAATAAAATCTGCATTTCCTAAATGAAGATGTAAATCATGGATCTGTGGGTCAAGCTAACAAGTGCTATCTATTTCACTATTCAAAATTGAGCTGATGAGAAGTCTATTTCATTATTTTCTTCTTGCTAATAATTATTCATAGCCAGACATAGTGGCATGTGCCTGTAATCCCAGCACTCAGGAGAATTACTATGAGTCCAAGGCCAGCCTGGACTCTGTGGTGAGTTCAAGGTCAACCTAAACTATATAGCAAGACTTTCTTAACAACAACAACAGCAACAACAACAAATTGATCATAATCCCATGGTTTCATGTTATAATCTTAATGAAATTTGAATATCTTAGAATGCTACAGTAAAAAAAAGAATGTTACTATTAGTGATACTCATTTTATAATAATAAATGATTCAGGCCTACTGTCTTGCTATCATGAATTGATTTTAGGAGGGTATGTTTTTAGACCTATATGTATACATAATATAACTGAATAGAGATGAGAAGTTTGCCAAAAATTTTAAGTGGACTTCGTACAGAATTAGTCTGGCTTTACAGTTGTGTATTGGGCCCCAGAATCCACAGGCTAAAAGTGATCACCCTCCACCCTCCAGCTCTTATGGACCAACCCTCTCCTGGGTTCCTGTGGCCATGGTTGTGTCTGTTCTCCATTGTGCCCTCAGGTTCGGCAGCACCGAGCCGCTCACTCATCTCTGATGTCTCGTGTAGTGTTGGAACTCCATGGCCTTGGCTACTTCTTCTTGCCTACTGGACCCACCCTTACTGCCCATCAAGGCCCAGACATTTCCTTCCCTGAAATTGGTCCTCCAGTTAGAGTGGGTGTGTTTGTGTTCTCCACACAGTCACTGCCTTCTATGCACATGTTGTATTGTTTAATACATTGTATTGTACTTTTGAAAAAATTACATATTTGGTATAGGGTCTCACTATGTAGCTTGGCCTTGTGCTGATCCTTCTGTCTCAGTCTTCCCAACACTGAGATTACAGGTGTCCAGCACCACACCTGGTTTCAGTGGCTTGCTCAACATGTGGGGGGCTGGCACGGCATGTGGTACCAGAGATTCAACCCGGGTCCTTGTGCTTGCCAGGCAGGCACTTGGATCTCTAGGCAGCCTTTTAGAACTTCCAGTGATAGCAGACAACTTGCTGTGGCACACAGGCCGTAGGCACACCTCCACTGCTCTATCTATTTCATCAGACTTTATAAGCACTTTTTATTTTATTTTTAGTACAGGGTCTCCAGGGTCTCACTGTACAGATCAGACACATAGACTGGTAGTGATCCTCCTGTTTTCAGCCTCCCAAAAACTGGCATTACAGGTGTGTACCACCACGCCCAGACTTAATCGATGTCTCAGTGCGCCCTGGGGGCAGGGCCAGCACTGCAAGCTAGAAATTGAACCCTGGTCCCTGCACCTACCTAAGCAGGCACTTTAATTGGCTGAGCCATCTGTGTTTGTTTGTTTGTTTTTTGTGGAACTGGGGATTGAACTCAGGCCCTTGCACTTGCCAGGGAAGTGCTTATTCCACTGAGCCATCTCCCTGGCCTTTGCTGAGCTATCTGGCTGACACTCTTATGAGCACTTTTAGGAGAAAAGCCAACAATTTTATTAAGTGCTAAAATTTATGTACCACTGTATTATAATGAGCATTTAGCACCAAATACAGTAGGATTCCTAAGGAGTTCATTGTTTTAGAAGGGAGCTGGTCCCGTAAGCAAATAGAGACAATCCTTTATGACAGATACACTAAAGAATGTGTAGAGACAAAGTAAGCACAGAAGCACTAGTGAGGAAAAGAAACAATGTCTTGATTTATTTTCTGTGTCCATTCCCTGGCAAAGCTTGTTACACTTAATTGCCTCCTAACAAATATGTTAAATCATTAAATAATAGGACCATTGGCTACTTAGCATGTACTTCCTATGTCAGAGACATGGTGCTAGGTACTGGTCAAATAAAGATGGAAAGACAAGGTCCCTAGCAGGTGCACAGGGAGATCTGTAGTATGGTAGGGGCAAGCGATGATGGTAAATGCAGTTGACACTTTATATTTTTCCTCTCACTTTTCAGCATTTGACCAAGTAATTACTTTCCTATTTTTTTAAAATTTTCTTTTGTTAGTGAAGGAAATAAAATCCAAGGCCTTCTGTGTGCTAAGGCAAGTGCTCTACCCTTAGATATGCCCTTAGCTCACCATGTTTTTCTTCTTTTTTATTTTGAAATCTTTTTTAAGTGCTGGAGCTTTTAACATAGGACCTTGTGCATTGCAACCATATTTTTAATTTTTAGGACTTCATCCCCAATCTCTCTAGCATAGCATCCTGTATTTATTTATTTATTTATTTATTTTATTTTTGAGATAGGGTCTTACTATGCAGTTCAGGCTGGCCTTGAACTCACTTTGTAATCCAGGCTGGTCTTGAATTCAAATCATTCCTCCTGCCCCAAGCTTCCAACTGCTGGGATTATAGGTGTGCCCCATAGCTTCCTATTGTTTTTTGTTTTGCTTTTTATAGCTATAATGTGTTCTGGAGTTCTCTGCACATAATCATTTTTTAAAATATTCATTCATTCTTTGCATTGTCTTTATTTCTGGGTGTTTGCTTGTTTAGTCTTGGTGTCTGTCTTTATTTTAGTATCTTTCTTTCAGGGTTCAGTGGTTTTGTTTTTCTGTTCAGACTGAAGGATGAGGCAATAGAAGAGCTGATGACAAACTCTTTATGGGCAGAACTTGATGCACTGCTTTGGGATAATTAGGTGAGGCATCAGCAGTTACACTGGGAGGTCCCTCACTTCTTGCTTTTAGAAAGCTTTAAGTTTATCTGTGCTACACGCATTGATTTTTAGGTGGTTTTGTATGTTTTCAATATTTTAAGTATGGTAGAAGTTGTGTTTGGCTTTTCTATATATATAATTTCAATTAGTTTTGGTATTTTAAAGGAACGAAATGTGTTCCCATTTTCATTTGTTTTAGATTTGTTGCAAGGTAGACAATAGGTGAGAGTCCAAGCTTGAGGTAAGGAAACTACTTACGGTGTTCAGTACTCTAGGGGAAAGATGAGCAATTGGGACAGAAGTGATGAGGGAAGTACCATATCCATAGCAAGAAATTATTAATAGCCTTTTGGAAATTATTAGCTGCAAAAATCTATGTTCACCTAATGGAGATTAATTTGCTTGACATTTTTCCTCACAGAGCAATGAACTACATGAGAAACAAAAATTTTACCTAAGGCAATCAGTCATTGATTTACAGACAAAACTTCAAGAGATGCAGATGGAGAGAGACGCCATGGCTGACATCAGGTTAGGATTTATTATCTGACTCTTTTTTCCCATCCAAAGTGCTAGGGATCCAACCCAGGACTTGTGTGCTAAGCAGGTCTTTGACCACTGAGCTATATCCCCAGGTATAGAGTTATTTTTAAATTTTTACTCTTTAACAAAAATCTCTTTTATGCATTAGTGTTATCAATATTATTTCTTTCTTTCATTAATTTCATAGACGAAGGGAGAGTCAGTCTCAGGAGGATTTGAGAAATCAGCTTCAAAATACAGTTCATGAACTTGAAGCTGCCAAATGCCTGAAGGAAGACATGCTGAAAGACAGCAGCACACAGATGGAGCAGCTCAGAAAGGTGATGCTGAGTCATGAAGGAGTCCTGCAGGAGATCCGGACCATCCTAACTGACTTTGAAGATGCGTCGGGCAAGAAAATACATGAACAGGACAATATGGCTACCATGCCCTTCAGAAGCTTGGGCACAGCTGTTAGTAAAGTCCTAAGAGAATTAGACACAGAAATTTCTTATCTGAAAGGGAGGATATTTCCAGTAAGTGGTGAGAAAACTATTTCAATTTTGTATTAAAATGCAAAAAAGAATAGTATTGCATATATAATTTTTAAAAAGTTCTTTAAAGTAAACCTAGTTCTTGCTTTTGCTCTTTGAATTAACAGAGGTTACTTTCACAGTGAGAGTTGACCCCCTCTGTGGTACTGGGGGTTGAACCCAGGACTTTATACATGCCAGACAAAAGATCTACCACTGAGCTACAGCCCTTTTTATTTTTTTATTTTAAGGCAGAATTCCACTAAAATGACCAAGGTGGCTTTGAACTTATGACACTCCTGACTCAGCTTCCTAGATAACTGAGATTACAAGGGTGTACTACCATGCCCTGCCCACAGTGATCTGCCTTGATAGGAAGTTAACTTGATTTATATACAGCTTCCTGAAACTGTAACCAGAATAGAAGATCTAATAAAGTATAGTAATAGAATATATTAGAAGTAGCATTCTATTTGAATATCTAAAGCATTTTTTAGGTGAAAATCTGTGAATTTTACAAGCTTTAGTTTTCACTTACCTAAAGCAATGTCTCATTTTTAAAAACTAGGTAGAGGATCAACTTGAAACACTGAAAACTGAATCACAGAACAAAATAGAGCTACTACTGCAACAACATCAAGACAGGTAGGTTTCTCACTGAGGTATGGAAAAATCAGAATGAAACCATACCGCAGTTCTGTATATAGTTGCTTACCTGAAATTCTAAAATCTAAAAAGCTCTGAGACATAAATCTTTTTATAGATTTGCAGCAAACTCGTGTTAAAGAAAATAATTTTTCTTACCCTTGTTAAAGTGGTAAGAAAGGTTTAATTCAATAGATGTTTTGCAGGAGGAGAGAAAGACTAAGCCCAACTCTCAGTATAGTATGGCCAGTGGGGAAGCAGTGAATGGGAAGTGATTATATGCAGACATCCAGTGCTTCCTGCCCACGGTAGCTCAGGACTTAGCTGTCCATGATGGGGGACGAGAGCTTCATTGATCAGGCTTCAGGGATGGAGGGGTCTTGCTAAACTTACGGAGAACCCTTCCTGGTCCTGGTCTCAGTCCAGGAAGTTTATATTTGTAACCCCATGTGTAAGTTATTGGAATTTTGTCAAGTTAATTCCCAATCTACCACTTCTAGTGCAACTCACAGTGAGAATAAAGACACTAAAGCGTTTTTATAGTTATGGGGAACCAAGGGGTCCTAAGTCCAGCCACGGTGATGGCTATCCAGAACAAAGGCCTCAACTCAGGGCCAAACCCAGGTTTTATTCAGTCATGAAGGAGGCTTGAGGATGAGTGCCTGAGAATGGCAGGAAGTAGGTGAGTACTGTGAGCTGGGCAAGGTAGGAGGCTTGTATTTACCTCTGCAATATGCATAGAAAAGGATATGCGGAGAGTAATCTGCACTACATAATTGAGATGGTATCTAACATTTTGGGGTCTGGTGCTTCAGCTCTGATGTGTAATCTTTTAAGCCCCAACAAGTCATAGCCTCTATCTCGAAGCTTGATCCCAGCTGACAGTGTGGAGCATTGGCTCTTCATCTCATCTCGATCCAGCTCATATTAAAGAACAGCAGGTGGGGTTGACCAATATTCATTGTTTAGCGCTAATTGAAGGGATAAGGAAAAGTCCTAGCTAGCTCTGTACATACCAATACAAGGAAATAGGGCCAGGCTCAGCCAAAATGGAGACGATCACTCTTCTTTCAAGGAGAGCTGCTCAGGTGGTCCTCCCCAAAATGACTGGGCAGAGTTCTTGTTGGGACTGGGCTGGACCAGAAAGAGGACTAGTGCTAAGAGCAAGTCTTAGTTAAGAGAGAGCTTAGAAATGCCTGTCTAAAATGTGGTCAAGGACCAAACTCATTGTTCATTTGTTGGCAAAACCTGACCTGAGCTAATGTAAAGATTTTTAGTCTCTATGACTTAGTCTCCATAAGTTTGGATATTTATAAACTTATATTTGTAATGTGTTGAGTGTGCAGAATCCTTCCCTAGATCCTACATGAGTGTCATCAAATATACAGTACTCATAATTCTTTTTTTGAAACTAGGTTGTCCATGCTAACTGGAAGCAAGCTCCTGGGCTCTGTGATAACCTCCTGCCTCAACCTCTCCAGTAGCTGCAATTATAGATCTGTGCCACTATTCCCTATTCAGCACTCATATTTCATTTAAATGTTAAAAAATTTTAAATTCTACATTTTATAACCTAACTAACCCTTAAAAGATTTGGTTAAAGGATTCTGTACTAAAAGAGTAGCATATACAAATCTGAAGCAAAATACTAAATTTAAGAATGTTGAAAATCAGTTTAAAAATGATTTTATAGTCAAGTGAAATTTTCTATATCAATTAACATCATCATATTCTTTCTATAGAATTGAGCAATTGATAAGTGAACATGAAGTTGAAATAACAGGACTTACAGAGAAAGCTAGCAGTGCTCGGAGCCAAGCCAACAGTATCCAAAGTCAACTGGAAATTATTCAGTATGTTCAGTATACTGGGGGTTTGAGATTCAATTGATAATTGAAATTGATCTTTATTTAAAAAATATTATTTAGGGCCTAGAAGATATCTTGGTGGTCTAAGCATCTGCCTGGAAAGCGCAAGGACTTTGGTTTGATCCCCCGGTACCATATGCCATGCTGGCCCCAGAACCCCAGGCATGCCGTACTGGCCACCAAAACTGGGCATGTTGATGCATGCCTGTAATCCCAGCACTGGGGCTGCAAAGTGAGACCCTGTGCTAAATAAATAAATAAAAATTAAATTAAAATATTATTTAACTAATTTTATATCCTAAGGTCTTTTATTTTTTATTTTTTAGTAGGACAGTTGCAATAATTAATACATTGCCTATTGTTGTCTTTGTTATTCTAAGATCTTTTAGCTATTGCTTAGTAATTGATCCCACAAGAAAGTATAGCTTTTCTAATACTTAAATGAACAAAAATGATGTCTTCACAAACAGTATTCTCTGACCATACAAGAAGTATTATTGTATTTGGACTTCCTGGAACTGGCTGTTCAAGATTAAGATTTGTTCTTATTTATTTATTTATTTATTTTTGTATCGTAGGACAAAGTCTGGAGGGTCTACAGGGTCTCACTGCATAGATTGGACTTGTAGTGATCCTCCTGTTTATAGCCTCCCAAGTACTGAGATTACAGGCATGCGCCACCACACCCAGTGTGATTTGTTCATATTTAAACTGATAGAATAAAGCAAGAAAGTACACCACATGTAAACTCATGTATATATGTACATAGTACATAATACATATAGATAAAATATATATATGCATATAAAAATTTTATAATTTGAAATAGTATGTTAAGACTTTTTTGGAGAAGGTACTGGAGATTGATCCCAAGCCCTTGTACATGCTAGACAAGTGCTCTATCACTTAGCTACATTCCAAGCCTTTTAAAAGTTTTTATTTTTTTATTTATTATTTTATTTTTTAAATTAATTTTATTAAGAAACAAATAGCAATGAGACAGTTTCAAAACAGGTTAGTAGGACAGTTTCAATAATTATTACATTGCATATTGTTGTCTTCGTAGTAATTATTCATAGCACAAGATACAGACATGATATTCTGTCCAAACACTATTACTACAAATCTTTCTTCTCATTGAATGAAGAGAAAGTAACTGTATATCTATCCTAACTATTTTGTATATATAGATACAAAATGGTCCTTCATTTATATCACCTCTTTTTGTTTAGTTTTGTCAGAGATGGGTATTCTGTTGCCATTTAAATATTGTAGATATGTGAATTCAGCAAAATAATCCAGTATAGTCCAGTAGTCCATAATAATAGTGGGTTATCTGTAGGACTGGCAATGTCAAAGTTGTTGACTTGAGCTTTTTACATTTCAGCATATTAATATGGCTTTACTTTTTATACCTTCATTTTATACTTTTCTGCTGGATGGTTAAGACCAAGATAAAGCAAGACCTATATAATAAGAAATGTAACTTTTGTATCTGACAAGGTCAGTCAAATCCCCTCAGGATTTAGCCTGAAACCCTGTACTGCAGTTTGTAGATCCTTTGTCAGTGTCAGCCATGTGGATGAGTCATGGCCATTGCTTGACCAATTTGCTCTCTGTAAAAGCCTGAGAGAATGTTTTCTCCCCATGTGACTCTCCTTAGGCACACTCTACATTGTCTTTCCTTTGTGGCCCCATAATCTCCTTGATCAGAAAATTTGGGACACAACTGAGTTACATGATGTTATAGTACAGGTTCTCTTATGTCCTAAGTCCTCACTGACCTTGAAAAGCTAGGGCCAAAATGTTGGCTGTCCTTGCAGCCCTTCTTTTTCTCTAATTTTCATTCTGCAAACTGAAGTTGTTAACCTTCCAAAAGAGAAGCTTAATGATATTATTACCCTATAACATAGACAGTTGAGCTTAACCTCACTATCCATCTGAATATCAAACATATTAGAGATGACTTGGAATAGGTATTTTCCATCAAGTATTGATATGTTAAACTAAAAGTTTTTATTTTGAGACAAGTTCTTGCTAAATTGCCCAAGGTAGACTTAAACTTGGAATCCTACTGCCTCAACCTCTGAGATCCCAGGAGTGTATCACTGTGTCCAACATACTACAGACTTTTTCTATGGGTATTTTCTGTCATATACAAAGTAGAGGAAAAAGGGTATAATTAATTCCCATGTACTCATCACTGATTTTGGCATTTACTATTCTCTCTGTCTCTATCTCTATACTGAGCATTGAACCCAGAAGGCTTCATGCATACCAAGTATACATCTACCACTGAGCTCTGCTCCCATCTCTGAGCTGCAACATTGTTGTTGTTGTTAGTACCAGGAATCAAACTGAGAACATCATGCCAGACAGGCACTGCCTCACTAAGCTATATCCTGGGTCATTTATTTTTGAGATAGGTCTTACTGTGTATTTCAGGTTGACTTTCAACTCACTGTGTAGCTCAGGCTGGCCTCTAACACTACAATAATCCTGCCTCAACTTCCCAGGTGCTGGAATTACAGGCATGAACAACCATGCCTACCACAGCTACAACTTTTATGAAGCAATTTTGGATAATAAAAAACAGTTGGCTAGTAATGCCATCTAAAGTAATTACAGATAGTGTCCAAAAGCTAGAATACCTGTGGGTATCACAAATATTCTTAGTTTGTTTTTGCCTTTATATCCCTTCTCAACCTTGTCTTAGAGAACAAGCAAGAAACCAAAATTCAATGTACATGCGTCAGCTCAGTGACCTGGAATCTACTGTTTCTCAGCTGCGTTCTGAATTAAGGGAGGCCAAAAGGATGTATGAAGATAAGGTAAATTTAGATTTTGCTAGTTTGCTTCCTTGCGACTATTATGTACAAAATCAGCAGTATATTTGTAACTCAGATTAAAATCAGTTTATAAACTGGAGTAGGAAGATGCTAAATTATCTTTTAAACATACAGAAACAAGTTTTTATTTAAACAGTATGCTAAAACTCATTCTTAAATGTTTGTACACTTTAGGTTTTTAAAAAATAAATTCAAAGGTTGGGGATGTGGCTCAGTAATAGAGCACAGGTTTAGTATGTGTGAGGGCCTACATTCAGTCTGCAGGATCACAAAGATAAATAAACAAGAAAGAAATTTTAAAATAGGACCATAATATTTTTACTAGGCTTAGAGCTAGCAAATATTTAAGTACCAACTGGTCTACCCCTACCAGTCCATATTTTGGGGACCTACTTCCTCTACGACTAAACTTGGAATCATTGTATGGCTCACAAACTGAATTTTTAAGATTAAAAATAAAATTAGGGAACTAAGCCTTCATTTCTCATCATAATTCCTCTTAAAACCTGATATTAACTAATATTTGATATTATGTTTCTATTTTTTGTTTTCCCTAGCTAAAGAGAAATTATCTAATATCATTATCAGTGGTTTACCCAGAATATAGATTTTTAGTAATTTAATTAATAAATACATAACAATAAATAATAAATCTTTACTGTAAAATCCTTACAAATAAGCAAAGAACTGCCATTCAGAGGAGCTCTCATTCTGCATTCCCTATGGGAAGGGTGGCCCTGCATGACATTTGTCTGGAGTTGTCTCAGTTTATGCCTGCTGTCCCATGGTCCTGTTTTCTTAACATTACCTTTCATCTACAAAGTGTCCCAATTGGGCTCAGGAAAGGCTGTTTTGGCTTACTTTCAAACATGGAAATTAGACCTTAGCCTTTAACCCCTGTGGCAAGATAAGAAAGGTAAAAAAGTTAGACATGGTTTTGCTAATACCTAAGCAATGGACAGTAACATGAAATTGGGCAGTATAATCTCAGTAACAGGTTGGGTCCTCTGCAACAGTGTCTTTCCAGATTCTTTGTTCTTGTCCTTCTGAGACAGGGTTTCACTATGCAGTTCAGGCTGGCCATAAACTCATTTTGTAGCCCAAGCTGGCCTTGAACTCACAGAGATCCTCCTGCCTCGGTCTCCCAAGTCCTGGGATTACAGGAATATACCACTACCTCACCAGATTCTGATCATTCTTCAGAGTAAAAATGCAGCTCAGTTTATGATCAAGTGCTGGCTTGACTCCTTCACTTGACCTCATGATTCACTGGTGGGTTGTAGCGAATAACACCAACCCTCGCATCCCTCTTAGTCAAAATCCTTCTTAACTGTGGCCACCACCACCTTATGCTGCTTAACTGGATGCAAGAAACAACATCCTGGGGAAGAACATTGGTTCTTTGCGCTCTCTCTCTCTCTCTCTCTCTCTCTCTCTCTCTCTCTCTCTCTCTCTCTCTCTCTCTC